CCAGATCTAGAATTTCCATGCATGCAGAGGATGACCCCAGTTTCACTAACATGCCTTCAGCACCACGAAAACACTGTACAGATTTAGTCGCATTACAAGTCCCTAGAGGAACTTGGTCTGAACAACTTAAATAAATAAATAAATACATATACACATACATACATGGGTAAGATTTTGGTGACACATTTTGCAAGAAACCCTTTTGCCTCMATGTAAGTGTAGCATGWCATGAAAGGCTCATGCAGCAACCASCACAGGCTCTGCAGATCCTGCTGGCAGCTTGGAAGCAGGGAGCAAAGCCACACGCCCTGGCACAYGGGTCACTGCCCTGGCACACACAACAAAGCAGGAGGCAGGGCAGTGCAAAAGGGTCTGGAATGGAGACCAAAGCTGGATGTCACACAGGGACAAAAAGAGCCCTGGAGGCAGGAAAGGCTGAGCTCTGCAGGATCCATAGGGCCCTGATGTTGCATACTCTACATGTCTGGAAAAATCAGGTATTAGRTTGTGCACTCAAAACGAGCTGAAATTTGTGATGATTTTGGCTTTAATTGGCAAGTTTTTCCTTTTTCACGTATAAGATGGGTAGCAGTACAAGCTATTGTTAGTACAGCTCAAGTGTACTATCATAGCTGTGGAAGCCACATTCACACATCAGGAGCCTGCTGGGCATGGTACAGTACAGGCACTTCACATCACAGCAGTGTTGTGGAGATACATACACCTGTGCCTGCAAGAAAGGATGATATCTTAGTAAGAGCGACAGAGAACCTCAGAAGAAATAAACAGTTCTGTATCAGAACTGGCCACTATCCTGCAGAAGATGCTCACTGAGCAACCAAGATACAAATCAATATGAAGCAGTGATCCAAGTGCTAACTGAAGAAGTTCTCAGGGGAAAAAAGTGGAAATATGTCATTAAAGATCAAAGAATTCACGTGAATCAGAGGAATACAGACATTCTCTGTGATACCAGCAGCACAGGTGAGAGAACTGGGACAAACGTTCCACCTGGTTTTCACTGCCCTCACTGACCCACAAGCACACTTTCATCCTATTATAAGGAACCATTAAAAACCACACCACAAACAAACAAATGGTTGTGTGGACAACAAGGCCYTAATTACTGATGTGACAGAGCTGTCATTGTTGGTATTCACGTTTCAATTTTGTCACATATGGAGCAATACAATCAGCAATGYAAAGTCCTCCTTTCATGTAATTTGTTTTTGTTCCAGGTTTCAAAGACCCTGTGCAAACCTTCGAACCCATCAGAAGCAGAGCTGTTTCAAAGCAAAGATTTTCACAGCAGTTGTAAATAAAATCATTTGTTGCTTTAAATTTTGGGGGTTTTTTTACAAGGTATTGATTCAGAAACCAATTTCAACTGGCAACATCCTTCTACCTGCACTTACTATGCGAAAGACATAAATAACACATGGCAGCCACCACACATAACATGATCATCCAAATATGCATCACATGCCTGTTTTTCATGTTGGGCTGCTGCTTGTCATAAATTCCCAAAAGAATTAACTTTCTGGAGGAGCRGCTGGAGGAGAATAGTGCTTTCTCCACCTGCTGGTGAGGAGGAAGAAAAGATGTCGTGGCTCAGGCAGAAAGAGGAAGAATGACAGAGAAGCAGAGGCAGGCCCTGGCAGCTACTCCCCATCACCTCCCAAGTGCAGCCTAAGGAGARAAAGGGAGATAAACTTCCTGGCTTTTGCAAACGGCAAACAGAAAACGCCTATCTAATTTAAATGTGCATTCTGATGAGTGTTTACTCCAGTGGAATCATTTCCTCAAAGAAGAATCCAGCAGCATTTACCATCTTCGTACACCATGCATAAAATCAGCGAGAGGTGGTCAATACACACCTTAAGGAAGGCTGAAATAAGTGAAATTGGATTTCTTGGCTAACAAACATAGAATACATAACACGAATAAAAGTTCTGTTCTTTGGTTTAACATGTGCAAGATGACAAGTGGAAAAAACACCCACAGAAACATCAACATGAGTGTTACTTCACAGGCTTGAGATATCATCTCTTCATCCTTACACTTGCTAACAGGTGCCTTAATTTAAAATGTCATAAGTTACAACTGTGTATACTGAGACAGTAATAATGAAGAAACCTTGCTGGAAAAATCAGGCACCTCATACATCATATACTGGGCAATATTTTAACTGCTCCATGCAGCATGCAATACTGTCTGCAGTCACTGTGGTAACTAATGCACAAATTCGCACAAGTTGTTTCCAATAACAAACTGAATGTATCATACAATCTACCCCCRGAGCTTTATGGCAGGAAACTTTATGATCATATTCCACTGCGTTTTAAGGAAAAACAATAAAGTTGAAGTTAAGAGGAGTAACAATTTGAACAAACCTGTAACCTGCTAATCTGTGCCAAATACTACTTTCATTCAAGTCAACTGAAATTCTGCTATTGATTTCCAATGGCACAGGATTAAAGCACATCTGTACTTTGCGTTGAACTGTCTGTCTTCTCACCTTGGTTTTACTTTATTTACCCAAACCTGCCAGTTTATTTCATTTCTGAGCTCTGTTTATACAGATGACGAAAAATCCMAAGTTTTGCTTCACATTAAAAGCCTGGCTAATGACACAAATCTCTTTATTAAATGCCATACAGCCAAAGAAATTCTTGACACAGAGAAGTGGAAAGGCCAAAGAGGAGAATTGCTTGAACAAGACTGATGAATAGGGACACAAGATCCAGCTTTGCAATCTGYTACCATACAGCCTCAAATACCTGCTTACCACTGAGTAAAGAAGGAGATGATCAGCTAAACCAGTAGCAAAATAGGAAGTAAAGAGCCTGGATTAGAGCAACTTTAGGACTCTCACTGCCAGCTGTGATAGGATTGGTGTTGAACCTGGTGCACAGACAGCGCCGGCCACATCCCCTGCTCTGTGCATCCCCTGCTGGACACCAGCATCAGGTCCAACCTGCTCATGGGTGATGCAAACACGGCCCACTAATAATCACTGAGAAGAGGAAAGGGAAGAGAAAGAGAGAGGTGGAAAACATGAAGGAAAACTGCCCCTCTCTGATCACTCATCCTGTCGGTTCTCTTATCTCGCCCACGGAAAGCAATCAGTGTTCACTGTAACAGCCAGACAAGGGAACTGTCAGAAAACAAGAAGCGTTTTCCATTCACTGAGATCTGGCTGGATTCCTGATAACTAGCTTTTATTCTGCAAGCAGACAAACTGTGGATATTTTACATACACTCACAGATGTTACAGTTCAAACAGACACACCAGAACTCGCCTGCAGACTAGTTAATAATTACAAAGCGCCACACGCCAAGGCTTGCATTACTCCAGTAAAATCTCACACCCTGCTAAAGACTTGTTTAGCTGCTACATACCAGCTGATACAGCAAATGTTACATTTTCATTGCATTTAAGATTGCATGGGCATTCTGATTTTCACTCTCCATTTCAAGATGGCATCAGCCATATAAATTCAGTTCACACCATATCAAAGTATCCTTCAGGTGCAGCTGAAGAGCTTGACAATTAGCAAAACATGGAAACACYTAGTGTGCTGTTAAGCTAGATCAGACATACATCCCTTGTACATCCTTTCCTCTGTCAGGGCTCTTTCCAAAGGTCAAATCTCATAGTACATTATTGTCACCTTTTTTTTTTGTTAATTTCTCAACTCCTTGAAAAAAAAGATGTTTTCAATATATTTGCTTATTTACTCAAAGTTCAAAAAATAATCTACTTTAAAAATAACAGCATATAATGCGGCCCTGAGGCTTYTGTTAGCCTGAAGCTGTAAAACAGCCAAGACAGCAAACTTTAAAAATCATGGATTTAGAGTGAGCATGTGCAGAGATGTCCATCTCTGGTTTCTCTTTACCCAGCCTCCAAATGAGCTAATAAACTGAAAGCATATATGATATGACTCTACAACTTGGCTGAAAACCTCATTTTCACTGTCGACACAAAGATATTCAGTTGCAAAGTAAGTGTTCCTTATTAAAGTCATAGCATCTAAAATTTCCTTTTCTGTTTTACAGATCTTTCTGCCTCTGGGTGCGCATTGAGCTCCACAGCAACCGAAAGGGAAAGATAAATGTAACGTCACCAGGGAAATGCCTTGCTTTTAGATGAACTCTCATGAAAACTCAATTAGTCGACTTCAGGGTAAAGACCCCTGTAGAAAACMACCTTTTTCTCTGAGCGGTCTTTAACACAACAACGCCTGCCTCTCATTCGCCTGCTCTCTGTGGATAGTTACGTATTTCGGGGAAGGGAAAAATGACAATAATCCTGACTAATGTGTACACTGCTTCAATCGCATTTCTGCGCCCGGTTGGAGCGCTGCACCAGAGAGGAAATGCTGAAGCTGAGTTATTGCTGGACAAGCCCCGGGCTGCTTGAAGTCCCGAGCCAGCCGGCACCGCTGAGCGGTGAAACGGATCGTAAAAACCAATGGGGTGGGTTGCAGTCCCTGCAATTTTTTTAGGTGTCAGCAAAGTTCAGGTCACAAAAGTATGACCGAATCACGGCATTTTTAACCAGGAGAAGCAAACGTCTGCCATTCTGACAGTGCTTTGCGTGCAGCGTTTGTTAGTCAGGGGATGTGTGACAGGTTTCGCCAAAACGTGAATTTCCACTGGGGACAAAACTATTCACAGTGGACCCGCATGTAAAAAAATAAAAAGAACAAAAACAATAAGMCACTCTATTTTTCCAACAATAACACATCCCTTCACAATGTACCACGATGCTACTACCGTACCTCCACCACTCCTCCCAGACAAAAGTCTCTATTCAGGGCTGGCACTCGAACAAAGCCGCGGGCACGGGTGGGATGCTGAGCCAGCCCCGAACAGGGCTCCTGAGGGGATGCACCCGGCCGGCTCTATTCCCAAACCGGCCTTGGAATCTGATCTTACATATACCTGCATCTATGAAATAAAGAGGCAGAGACAAGCCGCTCCGCCTGCCTTACCACTCTGCCGGAGAACCTCTCGATGGCCCGCTTCACTTTGCCATAGGTGCCTTTGCCCAAGGTCTCCTGCAGCTCGTAGCGATGCTTCAGGTTGTGCTTGTGGTGATGCCGTTTCACCCCCTGCTGCTTCCTCGCCGCCGTTACCTCCGGGGACGGAGCCGCCCGGACCGGCTCCTCCATGGCCGCCGCCGCCGC